GTGTGTGTATGTTTACTTCACTTATAGAAATACCTTACTTGAAGTGAAGTCTGTGTGTGTATGTTTACTTCACTTATAGAAATACCTTACTTGAAGTGAAGTCTGTGTGTGTATGTTTACTTCACTTATAGAAATACCTTACTTGAAGTGAAGTCTGTGTGTATGTATGTTTACTTCACTTATAGAAATACCTTGCTTGAAGTGAAGGCTGTGTGTGTATGTTTACTTCACTTATAAAAATACCTTACTTGAAGTGAAGTCTGTGTGTGTGTATGTTTACTTCACTAGTCTAAGTTTCGAAACTTTAAGTGGTTTTTCTCACCATATTTCTTCTACATTTTCATTGGTTTTGAAACTAGTAAAATTGTTGGAAAGGAATTTGCGTGTTTCACTGAAAACAATTAATGAAGAAAAGATGTGAACAGCTTCCCTGCGTATGTAATATCATTCCAAATACACGCGACGTGGATTCTTTAACAGTTGGTTATTCGTTGTGGTTATAATTAACTATCTAGGATTCTTTAATTTATTCATCATTCTGTTAATATCGATTGGTATAAAACAGGAAAATTATCTAGATGTACGTTCATAGTACTTTTTAACAAATGGTACGTCTAAGGTAATGTTTTATTCATCCATTGTTGAGGTAACACTAATTTTGTTTTTGTTGTTTCTCAGGATCTAAGAAAGAAAACTGGTTTCCCAGTCTATCGATCAGTTGCGGAGTCATCATGCAGCAATGACAAGACACATTCATTGACGACACTATGCGACACAGGGACAGAACCTTATAAGACAGAACAGGTTCCGCAGCATCATTCAGATCTCACTTTAGACCACGAAATGGCATTGTTGAGCAAAGAGATGGAAAAAATTCAGTTAGAATGTGAGTCTCTAGTTAAGCGCCACCTACAAAAAGAAAAAAGAATTAGTTGCTCAGCAATTGGCTCTGGAGTGTTAAAGTCTTCTAATGAAGAGTTACTGAAAAAAGAATGTGACAGTTCTAGGCTGTGGCACCACGCTTGTAGGGCCGTAGAGAAGCACTACGAGAATTATGGATACGAAGAAGAAGAACGGGAGAGATGTTCTAGCTCAAGTGCATACAGCACCGGCGACAGTTCAACATATGCAATAGTTTTGGAACGTACCGCTAGATGGTGCCCCACACCAGGGACTAAAAGGCCTTCACCCAATCAAGAGAAATCATTAGCGGGCGCTCAACCTTCTTACGTTGTAAGCGGTACGAGTGGTTTAACAAACGAAAAGATGAGACATCTGGGGTCTTCTTCACAAGATTCGCTCGTGAAACAAAGCCCAACTTCCAAAAATGATCTATCAATGCTTCTTGGGAAAACAATGTATACCGACAGAACACACTTACGTCACACCATCTGGTTGCAGCAAGAACTATTTCGTCAGGCTTTGCAAGAAAACACCTCGCAAAGCTGTGCATCCTTCCGAGACAGTCAACACCGGACAGACATGCGCAATAGACTAACTACATCTTATCCACAATTCGGCGATATTTTTGCGGAGAGAGCACTGCAAAACCACTTTCTGTTTGAATGGAGGTTGAAAAGTCGACCAGATGGCGCTAGATATATCACCCGTCACCCAATCCGTAACCGCATACTTCGAGAACGTTCCCTAAAAATCATGGAGGAACGGTGTGGACTTACAACAGATGACGACACCGTGAGTGAAATGAAACTTGGTCGCTATTGGCCAAAAGAGGCAAGAAAGCGACACCTACAACAAGCAAAAGAAAGAAGAAAACGGGAATTATTTTTAAAAACCCACCAGGAACGAGAACCAGAAATCAACAAGGGATCTTCTTGTTCAGACGTGGTACAGAAAGACCAGATTAAAACAGTTAGAGCTGAACAGAAAGATAAATGTTCCCGTCAATCACCACTCCACAACAGGTATCGAACATCAGGTTTTTTCTCAGTCACAACAGTATAACATATACTAAATAGTAAGGAACCGTCCGCTAATTTATACAAACTCAAATCTTTAATATTAAAATATGTTTTGTTCCCCGACATATAGTTGAATAAAAATTGCTTGTTTTTGTCGCAGGAGATTATCATCTGCCTACCCAGTCTTCTGACTGAAGCAGCTAAAAGCGTTTAGTCACTGTATCTTTAGTTTTTGTTATGATAATCATTGTCTCTCACTAAAAACCTAAGTTTATATCTTGGTTGGAAGAAAATAAGCTTTAAACAAAGATAACTCGAGTGTTGGGCCGAATAACTGTGATTTCAAATATCATAATAAATAACTTTAAAATACAACACTGACATGTGTTGTTAGGAGGACTTCTATCTGGCCGATATCGTGAATGGTGATTTTTGTACGATAATTATTATTATTTCAGATAATAAAATCACAACAATTAATATGTTCCAAGTTTGGTTTATTCTCCACTAATGCCTTATACTCGAGACCCTTATTTGTAAATTAAAACACGTTTTGTATAAACTGTAATAGTAAGAAATAGCTTAATATCAGAATAACTGTTCTGTGAATTACTCGGCATTGCAGGGATTACAAGAACTATAGAATATAGTGTCTTCTTCTGGTCTGTGAATTACTCAAGATATGAACCTTGTAGATATTACCAAAATTATAGAATATAGTGTCGTCTTTGGTCTGTGAATTACTCAAGATATGAACCTTGTAGATATTACCAAAATTATAGAATATAGTGTCTTCTTCTAGTCTGTGAATTACTCAAGATATGAACCTTGTAGATATTACCAAAATTATAGAATATAGTGTCGTCTTCTGGTCTGTGAGTTACTCAAGATATGGATCTTGCAGAGATTACCAAAATTATAGAATATAGTGTCGTCTTTGGTCTGTGAATTACTCAAGATATGAACCTTGTACATATTACCAAAATTATAGAATATAGTGTCTTCTTCTGGTCTGTGAGTTACTCAAGATATGGACCTTGTACAGATTACCAAAATTATAGAATATAGTGTCTTCTTTGGTCTGTGAATTACTCAAGATATGGACCTTGTACAGATTACCAAAATTATAGAATATAGTGTATTCTCGTCTATCAATTACTCATGATCTGGTCTTTTCACGTATTACCAAAGCAAACCTAACTGATCCTACACTCATGTTGTGATTCAACAACAAGAGCAGTGATTTTCCACTTTAGCAAACTATCAGCTAGTCAATGAGAACATACTGTACAGTAACATGTCCTAGGAACTACCAAACACTTGTAAAAGTCGTTACTTCATTTCTAAAATTTTAATCAGGAAACAATAAGGCAAAAGCTCCAGAAATTTAAGCTTACTACAGGGTAAGGAGAGATTTAGATGGTTATGAACTATACTGAAGACTGCAGTAGTGGGTATGATCCTGTAGGGAAGGATTACTATGATGATGTATTGTAAAGGAAAGATTGCCAAGATTCACATAAAAGTCCACACAAGATAAATACCGGATGAAAGAAGTAGAAATATTTTCAGAGGATGATGAAGAGTTGATGTAACAAAATGCATAACATGAGAATGTTCAAGTTAAAACCCTTTATATTATACCTTTGTTTTAACGCATTAAATGTGATGAAAGGGCACGACATTAGATCCTATCATACGTATTGGTCTCGGTGGGATCGGGACTGACTAGAATATCTTACTGAAAATACTAATGACACAAAAGAACAGTTACAGAAAGTCCCATCAGTATCATTTGAACTGAAAATAACATCACTCTATAGCTTTTTACCTTTAAGAAGATATAAATGTCACTGATATCCGAGAAGAATGGTGCCCAGTATAGGACTTATGATGTGAAAAGAAGGTACCTCAGAAGTAACAGGGTACATGCTTGTATGATACAACATTGAAAAAGTAATTGTTGGTTGCTATTACCACAACCAAATGGTGGAGACAAAACTACCCCTGTAGTGTTAAAGTATCTCATAAAATCAAGAAGCCGAAAAAATTCAGTTTTTATAGATAGACTTGTAACTTCATTGTGATCAAGAATACAACTTTGAGTCAATACTTTATGTAAAAAAGAGTATAAAACACAGAGAACAAATTCTACAGAGGGTATGTTAACATGATAAAAACCTGTAAACCATATTTTTTAAGAAGTGGAAACATGTAGTGGAATACATTAAGTTACTGATAAAATTCCGTCTGAAAACTGAGAAGTCGTTGGATCTCCTTTATGATACACCTAGTGGAGACAGAATGAACTATATATATAGCGGTATAAAGAATCAGTTGTAACGATTTCTATCGTTCGTGGGTTGCTTTCGACTGTTTAGTAAAAATAATGTAGGGTTAAGTCCAGTGAACCATAACAAAACCAATTTGTTCTTTTACTTTAACAAAAAAATTCTACAGGCTATTTTCATCAATAGCCTAACTCTCAAAATGGTCACTCATTTCCAAACCCTTTATCAAAATTCATAGCACTGAACTAATTAACTGGCTGACTGACTCCCTAACTAAGTAACGGGCTCATTAATTAAGTCTCTTAATCACTAATAAATTACAAACTTATATTGGTATCTTAAACAATACTGTTTTTTTTTCTTCCCAAATCTCCACTCCAGACATCTAGGAAATTTCTAGATATAACATATCATCATTAGGTCATGTCAAACGCGCAAAGAGTAAAAACATCTAATTTAAACTATCAAAAACATATTCTTCAAATATGTCCCCGTCCTAATATTGTGAAGTCCCTTGAACAACCTTAACACAACTAAAACAATAATGTATTACACATGAACGTACATAGATAGTATTAATGTGGCTTCTTATATTTAAAAATATATATTTATGAGCATATTAAACCCATGAAATCGTTAATTGTGTTAAACAACGCACAATCACAAATCTTCTTGGTAGTTTTCCATGGCTTATGGTACAAAGATGGAATGACCTTTAGTCACTTCCTGTCTTGTCATAGGAGGGGTTCTTATCAGGTAAATGGTCAAGGGAATCCACTATGGAAGTGGTCTAGACTGGAACCTCGGGCTCTGCAGCAGGTTCAGGTATCTCTGAAAAACTCATTGTTCAAACTAAGCAATAGGCTGTTATCTTGTCAACATCCCTCCAAAGATGATCACAGAAGATAACTTTTGAATAATGCCACCTATTCTTCTGAATTCTGTTCTGTGGTCACCAGACTTGCTGTCTTCATTACTATATGCACAGGTCTCTGATGTTACTTGAAGTGTAACCTTTGGTGTAGTATTTGTTGTACCATGAACGAGTTAATCTTTCTTCGTATCTGGTGGAGTATTTGTTGTACCATGCAGGTGTTCATCTTTCTTCATATCTGGTGGAGTATTTGTTGTACCATGCATGAGTTCATCTTTCTTCGTATCTGGTGGAGTATTTGTTGTACCATGCATGAGTTTATCTTTCTTCGTATCTGGTGAAGTATTAGTTGTACCATGCAGGTGTTCATCTTTCTTTGTATCTGGGGTTCATCTTCTTCATCAGTAAATGTCCTATCATCGGTAACACTCACATCAGTGGTAGTAACTTCATCAAGAGCTTCACCGTTTCTCTTCTCAAAACTGAGTAGAGTTTCTTCTTCAACATTGGCTTTTTCAGGTGATACGTCTTCAGCAGCGTCATTTGTTCTG